GGGGGTTGGTTGTGGGGTGGGGGGGGGGGGGGGGGGGGGGGGGGGGGGGGCAGGAGTGATGTCTGCATTTGAGAGAGTGAGAGTGTGCAGACCTCTGGAAGGGGCAGGTGTTAATTCTTCTTCATATCTTTGATACAAATGCTGTTAACGGGGACATTTTTAAAAACAGTCTGTACCTCTTTGGAGTCGATTAAGAGCCTTTCGCCCCAACAGTGGAAGTGCTTTCTCAAACGCTGCTTTATATAACCCATTCGGTTAGCAGTGTGCTACTGGTCCCGTCCACTGTTATCTATTTCTTAAAAATGTTATTTGTTTTCTCTTATTTTCAGGTTCAGCTGGAATTTTTGCTCATATCGCATCATATCTTCATCGTCAGGTGAGAAGACGTCTCACATTGGAGTCCTTGAGGTGCTGAGAAATAAATGAAAATATAAGATCAATGACAATGAAGATGATGTGATGTGATCGAAAGCTCTGGAGGAGCTGGAAAATGACCTTTGTGAGTTGTGAGATGTTTTTTCTCAACATCTCATTTAATCTCATTTTTATTTATCTATTAACAAATAGATTTTGATTCAATAATTAGTTATGAATTGCATTTTCGTTGCTTACTATTATTACTAGTATTGTATTAACTACTTGTTACATTGTATTCAGTTAATTTAATTAAATTTAATAAACTGAACTGAATGTATTCAAATGTCTGTGTGTGTGTGTGTGTGTGTGTGTGTGTGTGTGTGTGTGTGTGTGTGTGTGTGTGTGTGTGTGTCAGGAGGCAGCTGAGCCCCCGTTAGGAGGAGTCAGTGTCGCGGGGAGGCGGTGTGTGAGGAGCCGCTCTGTGCGCTCACTGGCTGCTCAGCTCAGTGAGGAGAGCCCGTTCAGAGGTCGGACCGCCGGGACCGATCACCGGTCAGTGGGCGACTGGAGAGCTCAGCGTGCGGATACAGAGCTGAACCTAAAACCTAGACCTGGAAACAGCAGCGGGAGAGAAGTCGGAGGAGCAGGCTGAACGCTCGAATCTGAGACCATGGAATGCATTGAAAGAACTCCGACGCAGTGAAAGTTTGCACCTCGGACATGGAGACACAAACGAAAGATCAACTAATCACAGTAATCGCCATCATTCTCGCCTGAGGGTTCGAGGTGCAGCAGAGGATGACACCTGCACCCCGCCTGGCGAGGACCGACGCGTTGTTCCGCACTTCCACGTCTCTTTGAAGAAGAGTCCAAATCTTCTGCAAGAGGGACTTTTTTTTTTTTGTTGCCTCTAATTCTGCAAAACAGATCGCCATCCTGCTCGCAGCCACCTCTGGGTATATCGGCTGTGGCGCGTTTCTTTTGCGCTCCTTTATATCTTTATATCTTTGCACCACTGTGGACTGCGGCAAAAAGAAAAACAAGAATCATCTCGTACCCGGACATCTCTTACGCACAGGTGAGAATCAGAGCAGCTCCGAGGACGACAGTGATGGAGATTGAGTATTAGATGAATGTTTGAGTGGTTTTTTTTGTTTTTTTTAAATAGGGAATAATGTGCGTAAATGGCCTAAAATGTGTTGTTCACCAGCTTGGCTTCTGCATTTAGTCATTAGGCGAAAGATAAGAGTCCTAATAGTTTGAAATCCAGGACACTTTACAGGTTTCAGAGAATATGATCTCGTAGATTAAATCGGACTGTTGATCAACCTCTTAAAACCCGGCTTTACCTGTTTATTTCCCCTTAAATTGTCTTACACCACACTGTCTGACAGTATCACACATGTATTTTGTCTCAAACACCAGACTGAATTCAAGTAGAAATGCTTTTATACAATTGTATTTATGCACATTTGCCCAAATATTCACTCTGATGTGTTTGGTATTTTTGGAAACTTTGGGATCTCCTCTAGAATTTAAAATGTAAAAAGTGGTTTATTAATAACGTTTGGCTGCACAGCATGAGCCTGTAATGTCCTTTGGGCAGCAGTGAAGAGGTTAATATGTGGCCCATATGGATTTAAAGTGAGATTAGATGTTATTATTTCACTGTGCATTTAAATGATCTCCCCCTGTGTGTTTTAACGTTGCAGGCCTCGTTGACATGTCTGCACTCATCTCTTCTTCGTGCCGTTTCCCCGTCGAGAGTTCACATCTGCTGGATATTAAGAAATAAAAACAGAGCTTTGCTTCAACGGCATCCCTTCTCCCACGCAGCAGCAGTAAAGCAGCATAATCTGCGGAGCTCCGTCTCACCATGGGCACTGTACTGTCGCTGTCCCCCACCTCTCGGAAGTCGGGCTACTATGACAACCGGCCGGGCTCGCTCAGCCACTACCCGAGCATCAGCAGCCGTTCCCTCAACAGCCAGAAGGACCGCGGGCTGAAGAGGGGCCAGTCCATCTTCCTCCCGGGGCTCACGTGGAAGCGGCTGGTGGCCTCCACGAAGAAGAAGGGCAACTCCAAGAAAGGCGGTCCTGTTGGCCTCGGGGACCCTCTCAACAACAACAACAACATCAACATCTACCAGAAGGACCCCCTGTTGCACCTCAACCACGAGAATGTGAAGAAGTCGCTGTCATGCGCCAACCTGTCCAGCTACGAGGGCCCAGCGGGACTGGGACTGGGACTGGGCCTGGGGCTGGGCTACAGCCTGGGCATGGGCCAGGGCCACGGATGCGGCTACGGCAAGCCCCAACAGCTCTCCTCTGTGAAAAAGGTCCCCCAGGGGACATTGACCTCGTCGTCCCCAAAGCGCGTAATCGTCCAGGCCTCCACCAGCGAGCTCCTGCGCTGCCTGGGGGAGTTCCTGTGCTGCCGCTGCTACCGCCTGAAGCACCTGTCCCCCGCCGACCCGGTGCTGTGGCTGCGGGCCGTGGACCGCTCGCTGCTGCTGCAGGGCTGGCAGGACCAGGCCTTCGTCACGCCGGCCAACGTGGTCTTCGTCTACATGCTGTGCCGCGATGTCGTGGACGGCGACCTGGTGGCGTCGGAGCACGAGCTGCAGGCCATCCTGCTCACCTGCCTCTACCTGTCCTACTCCTACATGGGCAACGAGATCTCGTACCCGCTCAAGCCCTTCCTGGTCGAGGCGGGCAAGGAGGCCTTCTGGGATCGCTGCCTCGCCATCATCGACGCCACCAGCGCCAAGATGCTGCGCATCAACGCGGACCCGCACTTTTTCACGCAAATATTTGCCGAACTGAAGAGCGAGGGCGGCTGCGGCCCTCAGGACTACAGTCGGGTGCTGGATCGGTGAGAGGAAGTTTGGCTGACCGCATGCCTTTTCGTACCCTCATGTACACGAATACTCATACAGATTCCTGTCCCTGTTGTCCTCCTTCTGCTGCCCTGCAGGAGCAATGAAGGCGTATTTTGACGGAGTTATGTAGACATATTCAATCATTCCATCTGTGTTCATTGCCATTGTCCCGTCCATCCAGATAGAAATAAAGAGTCCCCCACCCCAAGATAATTGACAAACAGAAGCTCACAGCTGTGTTTTAAAAAAGATATCCACCTGAGTTTACTTGAATTGAGGAACCATTTGGTCCACCTGTCCCTTCTGTGACTGGTCCCAATTGTCCCAGCTGCCAGGCCTCCCAGCATCTTCACCCACCTCTTGTAATTGCGATCGATCCGTGTGCACGGGACAAGAAGACGCCATCGTCGCTCCACAACAGTCTTTTTTTATTGTAAAATGTCCAAGCGGATCTACAGGAGAATAAAGCAGACAATATAATCCACCGAGGCCGAGTTACGTTTTCCAGGACGACGCGAGGAGTCATGTTGACATCCGCTGCTGGCTAAGCCCCCCACTCGATGTGCCAGCAGTGAAAACTGACTCAGACTGACGGGGACAGCTGAGAGGTCCATGTTAGATCCTGCTGGTCCTGCTGTGCACGGTGTAATCAGTAAAGCAAAACGAACAGGCACTGCTTTTTGGAGCCATTCTCTGGGTCGTCTGGCCTGAGGGGACAGTTGCTGTTTTTTTCTTTACTCACTCAAATCTGCCTCTGTGTCTCTCCATTTGATCTCAGGAGTGCTTTCTGGTGGAAGCAGAATTTCTGATTGACGTGGTTTGTGAACGTGTGTGTAGGCATTGTGCAGTGGACGGCAGCCAGGGTCATCAGCTGTTTACTCCATCCTTTGTTCCCCGCGATTTGTTGACAGGGCACCCACAGGCTGTGGTATCAATGAGATTAGCAGATTACCGCAGCCCCTCCCCACTCTTAACCTCTGCCCCCCCCTACTTGTCCACTCGGCAGCCCTGCTGAGCTAATCCAGGTCAGGCTGGACCTTGCTGGACCGTAAACACACACACACACACACACACACACACACACACACTCACACATTTAAATACCTTGTCGCGTGCGCTTTATTCTCCTTGGTGCATGAATGACACGCAGAGCGACGCACGTGTTGCAGCTCAGGGGTCCAAGTTGTTCTGGTTGAATGGGGTTTCTGTCGTTGTCGCTTCTGAGTCTGTCCCACTTTCCTGCGAGGCAGCTGCGCTTCCTCATCTGCCATCAAGAGGTCTGTTTTCTCTCTCATCCCTCCCTCAACTCCCGCCTCTTGCTCAATTATTCCCTTGAATGAACCATTGGCATTTGTGCTCGAATGCCTTTAATGATCCATTTCCCGTGTGCTTTCAATGTGCGTTGGCAGAGGTGGTCACAGATGAGCCGGTGGTTCATCTTTATGGATTTTCCTTTTGGAGCAAATTAGATTAAATATATTTTCAGCTGGATTATATGTGCCCAGCCATCCAAAATTAGTTTAGATTCCTGCTGCCAGAGGTCATGGAAGTTTACGGTTCATGTTTCGAGGTTGATAGCTCAGAGAGAGTAGATAGAAAAATGCAGGGGAAGCACAAATTAGTAGCTAATTATGCACCAGAGTGGCTTAAAAAGACCATAAACAGCAAAGGGTATGTGGTCTTCTTTTTTTTACCCAGTTATTTAAATTAAATACGAATAAATGTATAGATTGTATACAAAGAAAAAGAGCCATACCTGTGTTATAGGGCAGTGTGCGCCAACCCTTTTGGCTTGTGACCCCTTAAAATGATACTATGACTACCTACTACCCCTCATTGTTGGTTGCATACGTTTACTAGAAGTTACTAGTTTAACCAAAGAGGGATTGCTTCCAACGGACAAGTTAAAATGAACCAGTAAATTGAATAGATTTATTTTTATTGTGAAACCCCTCAGATTATTTCCTGTGACCCCTGTTGCGTGTCCCTACACCCCGTTTGGGAACCCCTGATTTATAAAAGGAAGCTGTTGGTTGAGGAAGGGTCTTCATGCCCACAGTAGCATGTGATAAAGCCTTAATCTCATTGTGTTGGAGCATCTAGAGGTCCCCCCCCCCCTCCCCTCCACGTGGCCTTCCCTCTCTCACACTTTGCTACAGTATATTCTCGTCCACAAGGTCATATGATAGACAAGCGTCCCCATAAATTTGACCGTTACACACATGTGCAAACAAATGCACTCTGCTCCACATCCCCTTCCTTGGGTAATCCAGTCCTAATCCTCCCACCCAATCCCAATCAAATAGAGAGAGGAAGCAAGGGATGAAAACATGAGGGAATAAGTCAACGTTTCTGGATCTGATGAGATTTAGGTGTCACACTTCCACGGCAGCCCTTCAAATCCTGCTCTAACAAACCGGAGGCCTTCAGAGACCCCAAAGCTCAACCCCGCGGCCCCACTGCAGCTCCCCCGGGGCTTATTGGAGTCAGGCCTGCCTCACTGCCCGCCTGAGGGATCTGCCATGGGCTCCAGTCAGTCAACCAGAGAGGAGTGATGGGGGTGAGTCACGCTCAGAGAGTCTCCTTTCCTGGAGCTTTGACTGGCAGCCATTTTGGGTTTGTTGTTGTGGTCAGTGCAGCTCTCTCTCTCTCTCTCTCTCTCTCTCTCTGGCCTCGGCTTTGACAAGGACACTTGTGTCTTGACTCAACCCCCCCGTCCTCCGTCCTCTTCCCACCCCTCCAACCCCGTCTCCACACACACTCAGCTGTTGTTCCCGGTCTGTTTCATTAGATTTGACACCCCACACCCGCCAGCCATTGTCAGGACGAGGAAGGGCAGAATGGGACCGTTTGTTGGCCCTGGGTTGGTTGTGTTTGCGTGAGAATGTGGGTCAAAGTTAAGGGCATCTGCCTCCACCATGCGCCTCCTGTAGACCTGGACATTAATTGAATCATAAGATACAGTACAGCGTGTTCAAGCGCTAATGATATTAACTTCTGCCCTCACATCGGTGACCAATAAATCCGCTGCAGGTTTTCTTTCAGTGGCATGTTGTGACCCTTCTAATGAAAAACAACTCTTGTGGCTCTTTCTTCATGCTAATAATGGCACAGACACCGAGGAACCATGTTCATTTAGGCCTAATTGAGCTTTAACACCATTTGTCAAATGAGATGTAATCGGGTCTTTACCAAGAAGGCGACTGTCCCCTCAGTTCGGTATCTCTGTCCAATCACGAAGCTGTTCCTCCAATCGCTTCACACAGATAGCGTAGCGGCTCCCTAGCCAATTAACTTGTATCCCAACGTCGGACCTCTAATTCTGTTCATCCAATCAAACCCCTCGGGGTGAATCCCGAGCTCTATGTACCTGACTGACAGACACATGATGCCTGTGACATCGCTGTGGATGATATATGCCTCTTGTTTGCTGACTGACTCCAGCTATTTGAACAACAGTTTTATTGCAAACTGGGCCTTTTTCTCTGTAGATGGGACATTCATTTAGGACTTCAGCTCTGCTTTGCAGAATATTTCAGATGGGCCTTGGACCGGCTCTGGATTAAGACTTTTGGGTTTGTGTGAACAATGTGATAAAAGATTTAATGGATAAGTCTGGTGTTACTCTATTTTTCTTATTGTCAACGAGCATCAGATGGTATTTTAGTACTGTCAGACTTCACCCTGTCTGTGTTTTCGGCCACATTCAGCCCATTCGTTCTGACTAAAGAAAAACCTTTAAAACAAATCATGAATGTATAATTGTGCTTTTTTTAAAAAGGTCAAGTGCTTTCCTAATAAGCTGAGTACTGTAGATTTTAGCAAACGTTACTCAAACAGGAGTAAAAAAATGCATTTGTTGGGGACTATTTTCAGCTGCGGATGAATACACATTTTGTTCCCTGAGTATTTACAGCAGTAGGACGCTCCATGCGGGATTGTTTGAAAAAAAAGTGGCCAAGGAACATGTCACCCAACGCAACAGTGTAGCTCATTGATGTGTTTTGAATACTTTTTGGACAAAAAAAAGAGCTATATAGCACAGAGCATTAAGATATACCGGCTTTGAACACACTGATAGTTAAGTTCTTCTCATTTGCTCTGCTGACAATAAGAAATGTAAAATATCGCAAGACTTTTCCTTTAAGTCGCCACAGCTCTATGAGTTGTGTTAAGTTATTTCAGTATGCTGCTGCTGCTGCTGGAGGTTGGTGTGAAATTGATTTCAATGGCACACCGTCAACTGATGATGTAAATATGGGGGCGTGTGACAAAAAGAGCTGTTGAGAAAGAAACATGAACAAAAAGAAATAGTCTTTCTGTGTAGTAGCATGCATGCAAACCAGGTAGTTTAGAACTGTTTTCTCTCTTTCTTTTTTGTCTTTTTTTGTTTTATTTTTATAATGTGATGTTTTAAATGGAACGATTATTTCTTCAGTAACTTAAAACTGGATCTCATTTGAGTGTTCCTTTATAGGAAACATTTCAACAGTATTAAAGTCTCTCTTATGACGTCAGGTGTAACTATATCAACATGATGGTGGTCTGTTCATGTTTAGAAACAATAGAGACAGAAAACTATATAAATGGTCGACTCTTAATTTCTCCGGCCTGGTCCTGAAATAGCAAAGCATGCGAATTCACACAAGCTATGACATGAAGTTATAACTTAACATGCTTTTATTTTCGACTCAACTGTCTCACACCAGACTTCATTTGCTAATTTGCTCATTTATATGTGGCCATGGTGTGTCATCCACCGCAACGAGAATATCACCGACCAGAGTACAGTATAGAACCGATCAAGCTAGCGGCTATCAATAGCCTTTCTCATCAATGCACCAGCTGGTGACACAGAGGCAGCCATTGTTTCTGTAGCATTTCACCGCAGGCAGCTCCAGCTCAGCCTGCGTCCTCACTGATTGTAGCTTCGCCTCTCGATGTGAAAAGCGTTTCAAATTTCATAACTTTGCATTCATCACAACACCTCGTACGTGTTGCGTCAACAGCGGACAGATGTTAATACAGAGATAAATATATAACTGTCTGGTGTCCATCACCTCCTCCCCCCCCCCCCCCCCCCCCCCCCCCCCCCCCCCCCCCC